TTCTTCCTATTTCACATTACCTATTATACATTTAGTCCTTGTTTACACTTTCAGTTTCATTTACTCCAAGTAAGTTCTTACTTTATTTCATGAGATATAATCTATTTTACATAAATTCACAAGTTTATTTTCTATATTCCTTTCTTTCTAAATGAAAGGCTGAAAAGATAGTTTAACATTTTTTAGATGTTCATCAAAATTATCATTTTTCAAAAAAAGTAATTGACAGTTTTTAAAATCTAAATATAATATGGAGCACTTTTTGCTCCTTATAAAAAGTAATGACAAAATATGGAAGCATTCCCTTTAGAGTCAAAAATAAGACTACTAGTATCTACAATTTTCCAACAATCCTAGCCAATTGCATAAGTGAAGAAAAATAAATTACCAGAATAGTTGAACTAAAGGGTCAAAACTTTTATTATCTGTGATGATAATTTTTCTGCCTAGAAAACCTAAGGAAATGTATAAAATCATTATTATAATAAAAGAAGCAGAGCCTGACTACTGGTTTAAAAAATTTATACAAAAATCAGTGGCTATAAATAGCCAAAAAAAATTAAAAGTATCCTATTACAACAAGAAAAATTAGAGTACGTATGGATAAATTTAACAAGATGTGAAATATGCACTACAAAATGCTTTAAAGTATATAAATGACCTGAATAATGCGGCTAAAATTTTGTTTTCAAAGTAGGAAAAAAAATGAACGTTTCAACTTCTATTCCTATCAATTCAATACCAACCGCAATTCAATTCCTATCAAAATCTGGACAGAAGTTCTTTTTCAAGGAATTTTAAAAAATAGATTCAAAATATCAGGGGCATAAACAAAACAGCAAGAGTTTCAAAACCTATGTTAATGAAGAAGAAATTAGGATTTGTTAATGAATTGAATATGGAGGAAGAGAAAGACACAAGAAAAAACATATAATGAATTGACCCTCTTGGGCTCAATAATTAACTGCATATTTCATGAGGAATACTAATAAATGGTAGCTATTTCTAAAAAAAGTCTAAGTAAGTAACCTGCTTGCAGTAAGCCATGTAATCTCTGCTGAGTAACCACCTTATTGCTATGTAGGGGGAGCAGTAAGATTCAGAGGTCACCTGGAGCCAGGGAAGAGATCTTCTATGACTCAGAGGCACAAGTGAGGGTCTCAACTTCATGGCTTGGGGGACCCTCACCAGCCTAGAAAGTTGAGATGTTTTAAAGATCTTCCAAGAGCCATTCTCAGGAATTTTCATTGAATATTTTGTGATGTGAACTGTCTCTTGAAAATTTCCTCTTCAGAGCTGATAATGTGCTTGCCAAAAATATAGATTCAAGGACAGTCACAGGAATGGAGAGAGTTGGTCTCATTTAACAATAAGGCAAAAGTATAAGACACAAAAGACAGTGAAAAAGCAAAGTCCCAGCTGTGCCTGCACACAGATGTAACATTTTGGAAGATGATAACACACCAGCTCCTCCTCTTTTATGCTTTTTTCCCAGAAAAAGTGTAAATCAAGAGAGATCACAAGTGCATTCATGAAAAGTTCTTCAAGTGTTACGCCTTCCTATTGCCTCTTTGAGCCTCCTAGACACACTGAAGGAGGAAGGAAGAAAGTGATTTAGACCTGTTTGCAGAATTTGATATTTCTACAAAGGTAATTGTGTGGCTCTTGATCACGGAGCACTTTAAATTCATTATATTTCATCTTCAAGGGCTGTGTCAATTCTTAACATAGATCTTTATTCTACTACTCATTCAAAGATGAAAAGTGGGCCTCATTTAATAAATTAAATTACCTTTAAATCCTGCATCTTTGCTTCAAGCTCTGCTTTCCTGAGAATCATTGTTCCATTAAGAGTCTCTATCCTGTTTAAAGGGGGAAAAAAGGTGAGGGGTAAATAATATCAGTGATTCATTTAAACAAGTACCACCCTATAAAGTACTACACTTGGAGGACAGAGTATCCTAAAAATGTAACATAATTGTTGCACTCTTCATAGGACTTCAAATATCTGGGTTGAAGCCAAATGTGACAATGTTCAGAAAAAAAAAATGGAGAAAACTTCCCTGAAAGTGTGAATGAAATGATCCTGTTTAATTTTTAAACCATAGATCAGTTTATAGAAACACTATATGTGATAACAATGGTTGGTGTGTACTAGGCTCTATTCTTGTGGATACAGGCTGGATCTCCTCATTTATTTGGTGAATATTTATTGGGTATCTACTATCTGCCAGACTCTAGACTCCACGGTACTGACAAAGCATTCAACAAGAAAAGCAATGGGCATGAAGAACTTTCAAAGCAGTGGAGTCAATATGCTATTCTTGAAACAGAGAAAAAAATCCTTTTCTTCCTAGGCTTCTGGGAGGCTTTACCTCTGTAAACTGTCCTATAATTTTGGAAAAAGAACAAATAGAACTAAAACAACTATAAAGTAATAACTTTCACATGACTCTTCTCAAAACCTTTAGATTACAAACTTTAATCCTAGAATTGGCAACTGAATAGTGTTCTTTTATTATGACACAAAATGCTTTTCTAAAAATATAAGCCTCATTGTATTCTGAGTGATTTATTTTGTGAGCTCAAATTAAAGACTTTTATTCTGACCACTAGAGTATCAATATGAATATGATAGCATATTTCAGTTGTGAATCACAGTTAGGGATTTTTCAAAATATTGGTTCAAATTCCTTCTGGTAACTAAGCTGTAACTCTGTTTATGAAGATCCAAAAAACATTTCAAGGCATGGTAAAAGCACTAAATGTGGAGAACAATTTTCCATCTATTTCTAATAACATCATATCTGAAACAATGAGATGAAAGGAAGCCAAAATTTGGTCTGCTTTCTCATTAAGGCAAGCATAATCTTCTGAGCAATAGAACAGATCCCTTTGAATCTGAGTCACATGCATCTGGCCTGTCCAGCAATAAATAAAATCTTCACCCAGTAGGAACATGCCTTTCTGACTCTACCCACATTAGAAATTCCTGTTGGACTCTATATTGCTCTTACTTTCTAGATCTAGGTTTTACTGGTTTGTTTTTGAACAAGACTGCTCCTGTTCCCTGAACCCATAGGATGCTGAACTGTTTTCTACCACCATCACTACCACCAGTTATCTTTCAAAACAATTCACATATACACCCAAAATACACTTGAAAATAAAACTGAAGACAGTTCCCAGCACAGAGGAGGCTTCCGGGCCAATGTGCCACAGCAACCAGTGCAGAGTAGGAGGCTTCCAAGCCAACCTACCACCACTCCCAGCACAGAAGAGGTGAGCCACGTGGGCACAAGCAGCACACACACCCCCTTCTTGAAATGAGAAGACACATAAACAAGTCTCAGAACCAGGCTTCCAAATCACCTACAGTGACCCCAAAGGAAAATGAGATGGAACACTATGATACTCAACCACCTGGACTCCCTGATCTAGCAATGAAAGAGGATCTGGAAAAAATGAAATCAGAAATGGTTTCTCACATAACAGCAGAGATTGTGAACATAGTGCAAGACATGATTAATAAATCTAGAGAGGACACAGATTAAAAAAAAAATAGAGGAGCTGAGGAACATGATGGAATCCCAACATAGGAAACAAATGGAATCCATAAAACAGATGCAAACAGATTTCCAGGAGATTAAAAACTCCATCGAAAGTCTATGCCGCAGAATGACCCAATGTGAAGACAGAATTTGAGATACAGAAGATAAGATTGTAATTAGCGAACAGGAAAAGAAAAATTTCTTTAAAATTGTAAGGGACCATGAGAAATCAATCCAGCAGCTGATAGATGATGCAAAGAAGAATACCATAAGATGGACTGGAGTCAATGAAGAAATAGGAGGGAGTGCAGATGACATAAAAAAAACCTGTTCACTGAAGTGATGGCAGAAAACTTCCCAAGCAGGGGAAAAGAACTTGACCTACAGATAAGTGAGGCACATAGGATTCTAACTAGCCTTGATAAAAAAAAAAAAATCTACACATAGGCATATAATTGTTAAGATTCCAGAAACCCAACAGAAAAAAATGTTCTACAAGCACTTATACAAAAGAAACAAACCACATACAATGGAAAGCCTATCAAAATCACAGCAGACTTCACAATGCAAACCTTCAAGGCAAGGAGAGGTTGGAGTGATGTATTTGAACCCCTAAAGGAAAACAGCCTCCAACCCAGATTGATGTACCCTGCAAAACTACCTTTCAAAATTGGTGGAGACATAAGATACTTTCAATACAAAGAGGATCTTAGGAACTTCATGAATACCAAACCAGCACTCCAATAATTTTTAAACAATATCCTAGGAAAGGACAATGAGGATCACAACCCCAGGAACCCCTGAAGAATGAATCCATCAGGCATGACAAGAAATTAAATGTAAAGGGGGAGAATCCAAAAAAAAGAAAAATACATGACAAGGATAGGCCAATACATATCAGGTATAACCATCAATGTTAATGGTCTCAATTCAACAATCAAAAGAAATAGAATGGCAGAGAGGGTTAAAAAGCAAGACCCAACAATATGCTGCATACAAGAAACACACTTAATTAAAAAAGAAGCTCATAGACTGAAAGTTAAAGGGTGGAAAATAATTCTCCATGCCACAATAACCCAAAAAAAAACAGGAGTAGCTATCATCTTTCCAGACCAAGCGGATTTCAAACCCACACTGATTAAAGACACAAAGAAAGACACTAAATCCTTGTACAGGGAACAATCCAAGAGGAAGAGATGACAATCATAAATATCTATGCACCAAATACTAGTGTGCCCAACTATATAAAACAAATACTAACAGACATGAAAAATAATATAAGCACTAATACAATAGTAGTAGGGGACCTAAATAGCCCATTGTCACAGATAGACATATCAACTAGACAAAAAATAAACAACAAAATACTAGAAACAACAATTAAACTCTTGAACAAATGAACTTAACGGATGTTTACAGAGGGTTCCACCCCCCAAAATCAGAATACACATTCTTTTCATCTGCACACCAGTCATTCTCCAAAATAGACCACATACTCACTCATAGAACATATTTAGGTAAGTGCAAAGGAATTGAAGTTTTCCGCTGTATATTGTCTGATCATAGTGCAATGAAATTGGAGATCAATAGCAAAAGAAACCATAAGAATTTCAAAAGCACATGGAAATTGAACAACACACTTCTGAATAACCAAAGGATCACAGAGGAATTTAAAGAAGAAATCAGACAGTTCCTTCAATTAAACAACAATGACAATACAACATATCATAATCTATGGGACACAATGAAACCAGTCTTACCAGGAAAATTCATAGCAGTGAATACTCATATTAGGAAAAAAGAGTGAGCCAAATTAAACAACCTGATGCTAAACCTCAAGCTTCTAGAAAAAGAAGAGCAGGACAAACCCAAAGCCCACAGAAAGGAGGAAATTATGAAGAGCAGAGCAGAAATCAAAGCAATGAACACTAAGAGAACAATACAAAAAAATCAGTGAAGCCAAGAGATGGTTCTTCAAAAGAATAACAAAATTGACAAACCCTTAGCCAACCTTATCAGAAAAAGGAAAGAAAAGGCCCAAAACCATGCAATTAGGAAGAAAAGGGTGAAATT